AGATATTCTGTGATATATGTTATTCAAGGGACTTAACGGTTAGATTTCGTTATTTTTTCCTTTATGTTTGATTTCGGGCAAGCATGGTAATACTTAGAATAAGACTGTTCACAAAATTATAACACTGTATGAGCAATTGATAAAGATTATCAGCTTCAAGTTAACACTAGTCGACACTCGCTGTTGTGTCTATCACACATCGCTTTTTTTTATCAGAGATGGTCGAGTTCATCACGTGACCTTACGGAGCCTCGTTTTAACCCGCCGTTCGATATGATATCTTAACATGTATAATTATGTAATTAGCAAAAAACTTAGTTTGCCATGTTTCAATTCTTTCTTTATAAAATGACATCATGTTTCACGTTATACGCGTGACAGAGCGAAATAAATGAATTTGAATTAATCTGAATCTAAAATTGCATGCACAAAGACATTGTTTACACTCTCTAAACGATAATGATATCAATGAGTGTTGCGTCACTTCTATTTGATTTAATTTTTTTGACGCTGTTAATAAAACGGTTATGCAAACTTTAAAATATTACAATTAGCAGAAAACACACAATTTCAAAGAGATATTTAAACGCTATGATGCTTTTTATCAGTTATGAAATGAAAGTCTAACCATTAAGTCCCTTTAAATGGAAAACATGAAATGTCGTCTGTGTATCATATAATCTGCATGTTATCGGGTGAATGTTTACACTGTGTTTTTCTGGCTGCGCAAGTTAGAATCAAGTTTGATCCCATAAAAAACAAAAACGAAAAACATGGCGCTGCAGAATGGCTGCCTACTTTTGAGGTTCTTTTTAAAGCCTGACACTTTGTCACCTTCCTAAGTTATGTGATAAAAAGACAAAATAGCGGTAAATATCTGGTCGCCGGTACCCTGATTAGGACGCTGTTTGTATGGATGGAGTTGAGAGAGGTATAATTATATATCTATAATGTAGATCTATGGTCAATGGTGCTCCGACCTTCACGGAAAACATTTTGTTTACCACCGATTACTGTGTTAGCGTTTTCTTATTGAATAAAACGCTGACTTGGAAAATAATCCAATGCTATCTGGGATGTAGACAGCTGAGGTAGTGCTAGTAAGAAGTTTCCGACTGGATCTTGCGGGTCGCTGTTGTGTAAGAGGCTTTACTTCTACCTATCAGGACTCAGTATTGGATTTAGTCTCATACAGGTTCAATATGTTGATAGAAAAACGCAGAGGCCGGTCAGATTCCACGAAAACTCCCTAAACATCAGCTCACTACCGAAAACTTCCTAGACATCAACTCACTACAGAAAACCCCCTAAACATCAACTCACTACAGAAAACTCCCTCAACATCAACTCACTACAGAAAACTCCCTCAACATCAACTCACTACAGAAAACTCCCTCAACATCAACTCACTACAGAAAACTCCCTAAACATCAACTCACTACAGAAAACTCCCTCAACATCAACTCACTACCGAAAACTCCCTAAACATCAACTCACTACCGAAAACTCCCTAAACATCAACTCACTACAGAAAACTCCCTCAACATCAACTCACTACAGAAAACTCCTTCAACATCAACTCACTACAGAAAACTCCCTCAACATCAACTCACTACAGAAAACTCCCTAGACATCAACTCACTACAGAAAACTCCCTAGACATCAACTCACTACAGAAAACTCCCTAAACATCAACTCACTACAGAAAACTCCCTCAGCATCAACTCACTACAGAAAACTCCCTAGACATCAACTCACTACAGAAAACTCCCTAAACATCAACTCACTACCGAAAACTCCCTCAACATCAACTCACTACCGAAAAATCGGTACATTCCCTGAAAACTCCCTAAACATCGGTACATTCCCTGAAATCTCCCTTAACATCGGTACATTCCCTGAGAACTCCCTAAACATCGGTACACTCGCTGAAAACTCCCTTAACATCGGTACACTCGCTGAAAACTCCCTAAACATCGGTTCATTCCCTGAAAACTCTCTAAACATCGGTACATTCCCTGAAAACTCCCTTAACATCGGTACATTTCCTGAAAACTCCCTTAACATCGGTACATTCCCTGAAATCTCCCTAAACATCGGTACATTCCCTGAAAACTCCCTAAACATCGGTACATTTCCTGAAAACTCCCTAAACATCGGTACATTCCCTGAAAACTCCCTTAACACCGGTACATTCCCTGAAAACTGCCTAAACATCGGTACATTCCCTGAAAACTCCCTACATTCCCTGAAAACTCCCTAAACATCGGTACATTTCCTGAAAACTCCCTAAACATCGGTACATTCCCTGAAAACTCCCTAAACATCGGTACATTCCCTGAAAACTCCCTAAACATCGGTACATTCCCTGAAAACTCCCTAAACATCGGTACATTCCCTGAAAACTCCCTAAACATCGGTACATTCCCTGAAAACTCCCTTAACATCGGTACATTCCCTGAAAACTCCCTAAACATCGGTACATTCCCTGAAAACTCCCTTAACATCGGTACATTCCCTGAAAACTCCCTAAACATCGGTACATTCCCTGAAAACTCCCTAAACATCGGTACATTCCCTGAAAACTCCTTTAACATCGGTACATTCCCTGAAAACTGCCTTAACATCGGTACATTCCCTGAAAACTCTCTAATTATCGGTACATTCCCTGAAAACTCCCTTAACATCGGTACATTTCCTGAAAACTCCCTAAACATCGGTACATTCCCTGAAAACTGCCTAAACATCGGTACATTCCCTGAAAACTCCCTAAACTGAAAACTCCCTAAACTGGGATCGGTACATTCCCTGAAAACTCCCTAAACATCGGTACATTCCCTGAAAAAACATCGGTACATTCCCTGAAAACTCCCTAAACATCGGTACATTCCCTGAAAACTCCCTTAACATCGGTACATTCCCTGAAAACTCCCTAAACATCGGTACATTCCCTGAAAACTCCCTAAACATCGGTACATTCCCTGAAAACTCCCTTAACATCGGTACATTGGTCCCTCATTCCCTGAAAACTACCTTAACATCGGTACATTCCCTGAAAACTCCCTAAACATCGGTACATTCCCTGAAAACTGCCTAAACATCGGTACATTCCCTGAAAACTCCCTAAACATCGGTACATTCCCTGAAAACTCCCTAAACATCGGTACATTCCCTGAAAACTCCCTAAACATCGGTACATTCCCTGAAAACTCCCTTTACATCGGTTCATTCCCTGAAAACTGCCTTAACATCGGTACATTCCCTGAAAACTGCCTTAACATCGGTACATTCCCTGAAAACTCTCTAATTATCGGTACATTCCCTGAAAACTCCCTTAACATCGGTACATTCCCTGAAAACTCCCTTAACATCGGTACATTCCCTGAAAACTCCCTAAACATCGGTACATTCCCTGAAAACTGCCTAAACATCGGTACATTCCCTGAAAACTCCCTACCTGAAAACTCCCTTAACATCGGTACATTCCCTGAAATCTCCCTTAACATCGGTACATTCCCTGAAAACTCCCTAAACACCGGTACATTCCCTGAAAACTGCCTAAACATCGGTACATTCCCTGAAAACTCCCTAAACATCGGTACATTCCCTGAAAACTCCCTTAACATCGGTACATTCCCTGAAAACTCCCTAAACATCGGTACATTCCCTGAAAACTCCTTTAACATCGGTACATTTCCTGAAAACTCCCTTAACATCGGTACATTCCCTGAAACTCCCTTAACATCGGTACATTCCCTGAAAACTCCCTTAACATCGGTACATTCCCTGAAACTCCCTTAACATCGGTACATTCCCTGAAAACTCCCTTAACATCGGTACATTCCCTGAAACTCCCTTAACATCGGTACACTCCTTGAAAACTCCCTTAACATCGGTACATTCCCTGAAAACTCCCTAAACATCGGTACATTCCCTGAAAACTCCCTTAACATCGGTACATTCCCTGAAAACTCCCTAAACATCGGTACATTCCCTGAAAACTCCCTAAACATCGGTACATTCCCTGAAAACTCCCTAAACATCGGTACATTCCCTGAAAACTCCCTAAACATCGGTACATTCCCTGAAAACTGCCTAAACATCGGTACATTCCCTGAAAACTCCCTAAACATCGGTACATTTCCTGAAAACTCCCTAAACATCGGTACATTCCCTGAAAACTCCCTAAACATTACATTCCCTGAAACTCCCTTAACATCGGTACATTCCCTGAAAACTCCCTAAACATCGGTACATTCCCTGAAAACTCCCTAAACATCGGTACATTCCCTGAAAATTCCCTTAACATCGGTACATTCCCTGAAAACTCCCTAAACATCGGTACATTCCCTGAAAACTCCCTAAACATCGGTACATTCCCTGAAAACTCCCTAAACATCGGTACATTCCCTGAAAACTCAATAATCAACCATTCTTAGAGGACGTATTTTACAACACAGTAACAAAATATAAAGTAGTTCACAATGACTTTGCCTTGTATAACCATTGTACGTAACACAAATTATTTACTGAAGAAATCTGCCATTTGGTGTGATTACGGAGAGGAAGGTTTTCGACAGCTTGGCAACACGGTATCATTTAATGGGTAATCACGCCATGTTTATTCCTTCACGTGGTCAACTTACATGTAGCCGACTAGAATGGTCTCCGGTCGTAAACGTCGGTCATTTGACAGGTAAACCCTGACGAACAGGAACTACGGTGGGCACTACTGTTTAATGGTCAACGATGCACACGAGACAAGCAAGACGCAGTATATTCTGACAAACGAGATCGATCAAAACTCGGTGAACGCTGAATGTGCTTTGTCCCGCTGTCGTCTGTATTACGATACTAGAAGGTGTTGTTATCGAACGCGCCGTGTACTGGAAGACTGGCCAGGACGTAACAGTGTGATGTCTACGAGATGACAAGGTGTGACTCCACTGTTTGTTGTGTTAGAGGAGTTTAATTTTTCCGAAATTATCCTAATTTATATCATGGAACTGAAATCCGTTTTAACAGGTAAGTTTTGATCAATGGCTATAGACTTATTTTTAACGATTAACCGCATTAAAACTTTCTAAGGAAAATCTGATGCCAATTTTTGATCGTACAACCGAGTCCATGTAATTAAAGTTGTATAACTTATATCATGTCACGAGGACCGACGGGCAGACATAACCAATCATCTGTTTATATAGTTCATTATTTATTCATTTGTTTTGATGGTTTGACTTTTTATCTGTATCATTTATGAAACATATTTTCATTCTTTTTACGTAACTACTTGTAATGAACGAAGCTGTTGTTCTTCAAATTTGGAGACAATAAAGAACTCATTTTGAATTTGAATTTTGAATATCTTAAGTAACATTTAAATAATATAATGATTAGTATATAAAAATCCTATGTTGAAAAGGCATTATATATAATTAAAAAAGGAAAACGATGTTTTGCCAAATTTAACAAAATATACGCGTCTGTTAACTTAACGAGGTTACCACCTGGTGACATTAATATCTGCTATTTACGCCATAGTCTATAACATCTGTTCTACGAAACACTTGTTCATCGTGACAAATTTCGGTGTATTATACAGGATATTATGTAGATTAATAATACCAGACTTACACTTTGTCACAAAATTACAATTTATAATTGGACCATGAGACATTGAGAAGTCTATAGTATAGCGTTGGGGATAATTGTCTTCTCCCTAACTAGATAACTGACCGAATGTGCTTTGTAAATTTGTTGTTTAGATGCATATTGTAGAATTTCTCATTCCTAAAGTATTTGTTCGCTACAAAAAGTATTTGTTCGCTACAAAAAGTATTTGTTCGCTACAAAAAGTATTTCGCGGTAAACATTTGTCATCTTATTTCTCATTTGTGTGTGACTAAACGTAACAGGGTTCATCATAGAACAATAATGTACATCAGTCGGCGGGGGTCATCATAGAACAATAATGTACATCAGTCGGCGGGGTTCATCATAGAACAATAATGTACATCAGTCGGCGGGGTTCATCATAGAACAATAATGTACATCAGTCGGCGGGGTTCATCATAGAACAATAATGTACATCAGTCGGCGGGGTTCATCATAGAACAATAATGTACATCAGTCGGCGGGGGTCATCATAGAACAATAATGTACATCAGTCGGCGGGGGTCATCATAGAACAATAATGTACATCAGTCGGCGGGGGTCATCATAGAACAATAATGTACATCAGTCGGCGGGGTTCATCATAGAACAATAATGTACATCAGTCGGCGGGGGTCATCATAGAACAATAATGTACATCAGTCGGCGGGGGTCGTTATAGAACAATAATGTACATCAGTCGGCGGGGTTCATCATAGAACAATAATGTACATCAGTCGGCGGGGGTCATCATAGAACAATAATGTACATCAGTCGGCGGGGGTCATTATAGAATGAACATCAGTCGGCGGGGGTCATTATAGAATGAACATGAGTCGGCGGGGTCATTATAGAATAAACATCAGTCGGCGGGGGTCATTATAGAATGAACATGAGTCGGCGGGGGTCGTTATAGAATGAACATGAGTCGGCGGGGGTCATAACAGAATGAACATCAGTCAGCGGAGGTCATTATAGAATAAACATCAGTCGGCGGGGGTCATTATAGAATGAACATCAGTCGATGGGGGTCATTATAGAATAAACATGAGTCGGCGGGGGTCTTTATAGAATGAACATGTGAGTCGGCGGGAGTCATTATAGAATGAACATGAGTCGGCGGGGGTCGTTATAGAATGAACATGAGTCGGCGGGAGTCATTATAGAATGAACATCAGTCGGCGGGAGTCATTATAGAATGAACATCAGTCGGCGGGAGTCATTATAGAATGAACATGAGTCGGCGGGGGTTATTATAGAATGAACATCAGTCTGCGGGGGTCATTATAGAATGAACATCAGTCGGCGGGGGTCATTATAGAATAAACATGAGTCGGCGGAGGTCACTATAGAATGAACATCAGTCGGCGGGGGTCATTATAGAATGAACATCAGTCGGCGGGGGTCGTTATAGAATGAACATGAGTCGGCGGGGGTCATAACAGAATGAACATCAGTCAGCGGAGGTCATTATAGAATGAACATCAGTCGGCGGGGGTCGTTATAGAATGAACATGAGTCGGCGGGGGTTATTATAGAATGAACATCAGTCTGCGGGGGTCATTATAGAATGAACATCAGTCGGCGGGGGTCATTATAGAATAAACATGAGTCGGCGGAGGTCACTATAGAATGAACATCAGTCGGCGGGGGTCATTATAGAATGAACATCAGTCGGCGGGGGTCGTTATAGAATGAACATGAGTCGGCGGGGGTCATAACAGAATGAACATCAGTCAGCGGAGGTCATTATAGAATGAACATCAGTCGGCGGGGGTCGTTATAGAATGAACATGAGTCGGCGGGGGTCATAACAGAATGAACATCAGTCAGCGGAGGTCACTATAGAATGAACATCAGTCGGCGGGGGTCGTTATAGAATGAACATGAGTCGGCGGGGGTCATATCAGAATGAACATCAGTCAGCGGAGGTCATTATAGAATGAACATCAGTCGGCGGGGATTATTATAGAATGAACATGAGTCGGCGGGGGTCATTATAGAATGAACATGAGTTGGCGGGGGTCATTATAGAATGAACATCAGTCGGCGGGGGTCGTTATAGAATGAACATGAGTCGGCGGGGGTCATAACAGAATGAACATCAGTCAGCGGAGGTCATTATAGAATGAACATGAGTCGGCGGGGGTCATAACAGAATGAACATCAGTCAGCGGAGGTCATTATAGAATGAACATGAGTCGGTGGTGTCGATAGTGTACAAACGTCAGTTGGTATCGCTAAATTGCGGGGAAGGCTTTGAGATATCAATCATAATAAAGGTATTCTGATTGAAATTTTGTACTTGTAAATACTTCATGAACCTTTTTCCTCCGATAGGACAATTATTTTAGTTTGCTCCTTTTTTTACAGTGACACTTTATTTGATATACTCTGCGTGTGCAGATCGCGTGACATATAAAAAGGTTTGCTATTATACCAACTGGTCCCAGTACCGTCCTGACGTCGGCAAGTTCCTTCCCAATGATATAGACCCCTTCCTTTGTACGCACGTCATCTTTGCCTTTGCAAAGCTCGTCGGGAACCGTATTGTGGCGCGAGAGTGGAATGATGAAACGGTTCCGTGGAAGAAAGGCTTGTATGTATTTTTCCTCCTTAATAATTATGATGTTATCTTTATTTTTGTCTGTGCACTGCAAATTACCAGTGATCTCCCAATCTTAATCTGGCGAGGAACATGATTATTGAAGCACCTAATACGCTTCCGAATGCACATTTATCTATAAGGATGATTTTTTTCTAGTAAAGAAAACAGAAAAAGTAGTATGCCAGAACAATCTATATTGCTTTCTCTTGTTTCGAAAACATGTATACCTTATTGTGAAATGAAGCATTATTTATCGTAATTAAGCTGTATGTTATTTCACCCATTACATGGACGATTTTTATGTAAATATTTACGTCCCTGCCTTAAAACTGGGTAGGGGGTTGGCAAATGATGTTTCCCATATCCGTCCCATCCCACCCGTCCTGATTCAATGTATCACTCCCATCCCACCCGTCCTGATTCAATGACTCCGTCCCATCTCACCCGTCCTGATTCAATGTATCCGTCCCATCTCACCCGTCCTGATTCAATAAATCCGTCCCGTCCCACCCCGTCCTGATTCAATGTATCCGTCCCGTCCCACCCCGTCCTGATTCAATGTATCCGTCCCGTCCCAACCCGTCCTGATTCAATGTATCCGTCCCATCTCACCCGTCCTGATTCAATAAATCCGTCCCATCCCACCCCGTCCTGATTCAATGTATCCGTCCCATCCCACCCCGTCCTGATTCAATGTATCCGTCCCATCCCACCCCGTCCTGATTCAATAAATCCGGCCCATCCCACCCCGTCCTGATTCAATAAATCCGGCCCATCCCACCCCGTCCTGATTCAATGTATCCGTCCCATCCCAGCCGCCCGTCCTGATTCAATAAATCCGTCCCATCCCAGCCTGTTCCGATTAAATGACTCCGTCCCGTCCCATCCCGTCCTGATTCAATGTATCCGTCCCATCCCACCCCGTCCTGATTCAATGACTCCGTCCCATCCCACCCCGTCCTGATTCAATGTATCTGTCCCATCCCACCCGTCCTGATTCAATGTATCCATCCCATCTCACCCCGTCCTGATTCAATGTATCTGTCCCATCTCACCCGTCCTGATTCAATGTATCCGTCCCGTCCCACCCCGTCCTGATTCAATGACTCCGTCACATCCCACCCCGTCCTGATTCAATGTATCTGTCCCATCCCACCCGTCCTGATTCAATGACTCCGTCCCATCTCACCCCGTCCTGATTCAATGACTCCGTCCCATCTCACCCCGTCCTGATTCAATGTATCCATCCCATCTCACCCGTCCTGATTCAATGTATCCGTCCCATCTCACCCGTCCTGATTCAATGTATCCGTCCCATCCCACCCCGTCCTGATTCAATGACTCCGTCCCATCTCACCCCGTCCTGATTCAATGACTCCCGTCCCATCCCACCCCGTCCTGATTCAATGTATCTGTCCCATCTCACCCCGTCCTGATTCAATGACTCCCGTCCCATCCCACCCCGTCCTGATTCAATGTATCCGTCCCATCTCACCCGTCCTGATTCAATAAATCCGTCCCGTCCCACCCCGTCCTGATTCAATGTATCCGTCCCGTCCCACCCCGTCCTGATTCAATGTATCCGTCCCGTCCCAACCCGTCCTGATTCAATGTATCCGTCCCATCTCACCCGTCCTGATTCAATAAATCCGTCCCATCCCACCCCGTCCTGATTCAATGTATCCGTCCCATCCCACCCCGTCCTGATTCAATGTATCCGTCCCATCCCACCCCGTCCTGATTCAATAAATCCGGCCCATCCCACCCCGTCCTGATTCAATAAATCCGGCCCATCCCACCCCGTCCTGATTCAATGTATCCGGCCCATCCCAGCCTGTTCCGATTAAATGACTCCGTCCCGTCCCATCCCGTCCTGATTCAATGTATCCGTCCCATCCCACCCCGTCCTGATTCAATGACTCCGTCCCATCCCACCCCGTCCTGATTCAATGTATCTGTCCCATCCCACCCGTCCTGATTCAATGTATCCATCCCGTCCCATCGCATCCTGATTCAATGACTCCGTCCCATCCCACCCCGTCCTGATTCAATGACTCCGTCCCATCTCACCCCGTCCTGATTCAATGTATCTGTCCCATCTCACCCGTCCTGATTCAATGTATCCGTTCCGTCCCACCCCGTCCTGATTCAATGACTCCGTCCCATCTCACCCCGTCCTGATTCAATGACTCCGTCACATCCCACCCCGTCCTGATTCAATGACTCCGTCCCATCCCACCCCGTCCTGATTCAATGTATCTGTCCCATCCCACCCCGTCCTGATTCAATGACTCCGTCCCATCTCACCCCGTCCTGATTCAATGACTCCGTCACATCCCACCCCGTCCTGATTCAATGACTCCGTCCCATCCCACCCCGTCCTGATTCAATGTATCTGTCCCATCTCACCCCGTCCTGATTCAATGTATCTGTCCCATCTCACCCCGTCCTGATTCAATGACTCCGTCACATCCCACCCCGTCCTGATTCAATGACTCCGTCACATCCCACCCCGTCCTGATTCAATGACTCCGTCCCATCTCACCCCGTCCTGATTCAATGACTCCGTCCCATCTCACCCCGTCCTGATTCAATGTATCCATCCCATCTCACCCGTCCTGATTCAATAAATCCGTCCCGTCCCACCCCGTCCTGATTCAATGTATCCGTCCCGTCCCACCCCGTCCTGATTCAATGTATCCGTTCCATCCCGGGCCGTCCTGATTCAATAAATCCGTCCCATCTCACCCCGTCCTGATTCAATGTATCCGTCCCATCTCACCCGTCCTGATTCAATGTATCCGTCCCATCCCACCCCGTCCTGATTCAATGACTCCGTCCCATCTCACCCCGTCCTGATTCAATGACTCCCGTCCCATCCCACCCCGTCCTGATTCAATGTATCTGTCCCATCTCACCCCGTCCTGATTCAATGACTCCCGTCCCACCCCACCCCGTCCTGATTCAATGACTCCGTCCCATCTCACCCCGTCCTGATTCAATGACTCCCGTCCCATCCCACCCCGTCCTGATTCAATGTATCCGTCCCATCCCACCCCGTCCTGATTCAATGACTCCGTCCCATCTCACCCCGTCCTGATTCAATGACTCCCGTCCCATCCCACCCCGTCCTGATTCAATGACTCCCGTCCCATCCCACCCCGTCCTGATTCAATGACTCCGTCCCATCTCACCCCGTCCTGATTCAATGACTCCCGTCCCATCCCACCCCGTCCTGATTCAATGACTCCGTCCCATCTCACCCCGTCCTGATTCAATGACTCCCGTCCCATCCCACCCCGTCCTGATTCAATAAATCCGTCCCGTCCCACCCCGTCCTGATTCAATGTATCCGTCCCGTCCCAACCCGTCCTGATTCAATGTATCTGTCCCATCTCACCCCGTCCTGATTCAATGACTCCCGTCCCATCCCACCCCGTCCTGATTCAATGTATCTGTTCCATTCCACAAGGATCAAACTTTATACAAAGGTCAATTATGAGTATATTTGGATATCGTTGTATTTCAGATACCCAAAGTCGAGGTCACCCTTGATATCTATAGGAATTCATGAATAAATTAAATTTTAACACTCAATAAATTAGTTTTTTCATGGAATTTGGCCAAACTTTATGCAAAGGTCCAGTATAAGAATACTTCGGACATCGCTGTGTTTCAGGGGTCCAAGGTCAAAGCCTTGGCGGAAGGGAAATCTATTTTTCTTTTCCTGGACTGATAGATCAACGCATTTCACCGATATGAGATTTCCTTGTCTCATCCTAGATTTCTAGACAAGCTTCACGTGATCTTTGCACGTTCTGAAAACAATTAAAGTGGCGTTAAAGACGTGACCCGGAAGTCGAATGACATTTATGAAATCACACACATACGCTAGTTCGTCTGCTACTGAAATCTTTTTGTTATCCTCAAAACTGAAAATCCTGTGTTGTCATCAAGATTGAAACTCATCTTAATCCACAATTTATTATTAATATTTATATATAAGATATAAGTATGGTTACATTTGACGTTTTATTGTCACGTACAATATAATTATATTTGATTTAACCACTATGAGTGAAGCGCCATCAACGCGTACTTGCACTCGGGACAAGGCATTGAATGGTCAAGCCTCGTGTTTGACAACTTAATAATTCTCTCTCTCGGGTTGAGAACCCCGCCTGTTCGAAAACTTAATTATCCCCCTTCCCCTTGAGTAGAGATCCCCCTGTCTCATCCTGAAGAGGAAGAAAGACTCTATCAAGCATAGACCTTTTCTAGTTCTACATCAAATACTTATCCTCCCTTCCTGGCATGGTACCATATCTCTGAACGTCTGAACTCAAATTCACTAGAATTGAACAAAATGACACACAGAGCCTTCTTTGTGCTTTAATGATTGCTAGAATTATTTGATCTATCGATAACCATACTGATCATTAATTTATGCTCCATAGAGTTCAAAGTATCCCAACATGTCTTGTCCCCTGTAAGTAACTCGGAGAATTTTGCATGGTCTGTTTAGATATCAACGAATTGAGGAGGGGTTACCAGTAAAACTACTCCGACATCTTACACCTGTCGAAATCCGCCCCAGATACGTTGAAATGTGTTTAAACTATATATTTTCATGAAGCCAAATAAATGCTGATTTCTTTCATATGTCATGAATTTGAACCCCCAAAGAGCACATTTTACGAAATCTTAATTTACAATCACACGAGCTATCATCAGTTTAACGATTATCTTTGTCAACCAGTGATTTCACAGCAGCGATGTTCTTTCTTGATGCTGAAGCACCGGGCCGTGGTTTCTCATTTATACCTACTTTACCGTTATTAGATTTACTGACCCGCCTGAAAATTGATCTCAAAAAGGCAAAAGAAGGCCATGTGTACTGTACAACTCCGCCTGTTTTGGACACAGCAAGTAAAACATATATGTATTTCAAATTTACTCCCAACGTTCAGAAATAGGCCCATTTTTCTGGT